GGAGAAGAGGGCATAGAGAAGCAAGTTTGTTGAGATACAAGGAGAAGAGGCAAAACAGGCTCTTTGCTAAACGGGTTCGGTATGAAGTTAGAAAGCTCAATGCTGAGAAGCGCCCTCGGTTGAAGGTAACCTCATATATAGTTTTTTTTATACTAACACCCGGAAAGGAACATTGGCCCCTCTAGTAATCCGTCTAGAATCGAGTCGCACCCGACTGCATATATAGTTGGCAGTGATATGCTTTAATTCTTGAAATATTGCATGCAAGATTTTGTTAATAGCTTTTTATGTCATTTGCAGGGTCGATTTGTGAAGAGAGATTGAGAGGTCACTTCTTGACATGATCTCCGGCAGGATTGAAGATTTGATGGCCCTAAGACTGTTCTAAATGAGCAATGTTCTCTGTTTTTTTTTTTCCCCCTTCTTTTGCTTCTTAACCTTCCATTGGATGCTTCCCATGGCATGGACATAAATTAAGCCAAAGGATGAAAGGTCACTTCTTGACATGATCTCCGGCAGGATTGAAGATTTGATGGCCCTAAGACTGTTCTAAATGAGCAATGTTCTCTGTTTTTTTTTTCCCCCTTCTTTTGCTTCTTAACCTTCCATTGGATGCTTCCCATGGCATGGACATAAATTAAGCCAAAGGATGAAATTAGACCAAAAAAAAAGAAGAGGGGTAAAAGGAAAGTGGAAAAAGAAAAAGGAAAAAAAAAAAAAAAAAGACAGAGGAAAATCCTTCAAGAAAAAGAGCATCAATGAAGTGCAGAGTAATGTCAAAATTAAATAAAGTGCAATAGATGAATATATTTTGTAAAGACAGTAGCATTTCATTTATATTTATTTTTTGGCCATGTAGCATTTCAATAATGGCTTAAGTTTTCTCACCTGAAGCACTTGTTGCACTGGATAAGATATAGATATACTAAGACTAAGACCTTGATTATAATCTTTGTAAATTCAATCCCTTTTCCCATATTCCCCGTGTTCAAAAAAAAAATTAATGGTTTAAGTTTTCAAAAGTACCATTTTTCATGCAAGATCCGTTTACTTAAAAAACAGCAGAAGAAGAAGAATTAAGAAACTCACAGGATCTTCATGCATTCCCCTGTACTTGAACAGATCAGATGGGAACTTAGGATCTTTCAAAGAACCCTGTTTCTTGTTAAAAATAATAATAATAATAATTAACAAATAAATGGAAATTTCACAGGATTAATTTGAGTACAACCTGTTCAAAATGTCTTTTAACATCTGTCACAAAGATGGTTCGCTAATAGATTGATGGATGAGATGCGTAAGTCCACTCTTTCACATCCATCTCATCAAGAATACGAATGTTTGAAATACAACATTGGCATTTAGACCTGTGCCTCGACTAATTCCACTAGCATTTGCATACTGTTTCGTCCATAGCAAACAGTTCAAATGTTGATTTTTCATTGTTGCTCATAAGTCATGTCCAGATGGTCAAGTCCACATCTCAACTACACCAATTACAAAAGTTAGTCAAACTCACAAGGCAGTAATGATCTCACTCAACTACTAGTATATCATGTACATTCCTAACCTTCAAATGCATTGACTTTTTGGATTACTTTGATCAAATTTTGATAGATTACTCTAAGAGTAAAGGTAAAAACATCAGCAAGAACTTGCAATTCTGTTACTTTACAGCTAATTATGGACCTAGAACTTGTAATTGTGTGTGTATATATAGATATATATAAATACTACACAACCTTTACTTACCTGGTTGTTTCATGGTAAACAAGTACAACTGGTGTCAGAAAATTCAGTTAACAGAAGAAAAGAGAGCACAAGACCGCTCAGACACAGAACCTTTCTGGGTATGATAACCTGTGCTCTCTATCTTCTGTCAACTAAAGCATGCTTCATGCTGCTGATCAACAAAAATTCATCATCTGATATCAAAAATCGCATCATACCATCTCCTCCAAGAATCAACCCTAACCCTAAAACCAGACACACATATTCATACCAGAAAATGAAACGGCATGTATAATATATTAAAGGAAAAACCCAGCTAGCTATTTTATCATGGGAGAGAAGGAGGAGAAGGGAGGAGGAATGAGTGTTTCAATGGGTGTGGAGGAGATATATATGGGATGAGGTCAGAAAAATAGTCTTTGGGAAAAAAGTGGATGGTTGGATATAGCTTTTAGTATATCATTTTTATTAACCAAATACATGCATCATGACTTATTCTCGATTAACTATTTTTCATTATCTAGGTAGATGACTTCAAAAGTGGTCGGTCTTGTCGTACACACATTCTTCCATCCAATTAATGGCTTTTAATAATTTGAATATTGATTGATATTGATATTAAGCCTATCAAGTTAAGAGATTTTTCTGATTAATGATGCAATGATTTCTAAACTTCTTTTGTTATAGGCTTACAGCTACTCCAATATAATTCAAGAGTGGTTCAAATATCTACAATATTAAATAAGACAGTATCAATTACAGTCTTATAAACAGAAAAAGATGTGATTAAAGATTACATGACATATATTTGGCAACTGCCTAGCTTTTGTAGGGGGGGAATGGCTTTTATAATGTCCATCTAATTTCAATGTGTTTTTTCATATGAAAAGAACGGTGATTGATGCAACGTAGTTGTGTACGGAGGAAAAAACAAAAGGCATGCATTTGGTTAATTGACGAGACAACACTTGAAATCAAAGAAGAGAAAGTTACAAGAATGGTTGAAACATCATTTTACATTTGGTACGATTCACATGAGTCAATTTAACTGCCTAGCTTTTGTAGAATTGTTGTAATGATGAAATTGCATGAAATATTGAAATCATTGGATATCTGCTTCATCATGTGTGGCAGAGCATGGTAGGGGCAGTCACAACCATGTCTCACCCAGGCACAGAGTCAGGGGACACAGGAACAGCCGAGCTTAGATTATCATGATTTAAAAGCTCAGCTCTCACCTGTTTGGAAATTAGGCCAAGCCCTTATCAGGAAAGTCCTGTCCATTTGGGCTAAGCCTGCAACTAAACTTGGGCGGATTTGTTTCATCTACCAGGTCATCTGTTCATCTTTGGTCAGGTCACTAGCAATTTCCTATTCTGAAACTTCCACCAGCATGTGTCTGTCTCTACACCCTCCTGGAGCTTGCATAGGATAAGGTCAGGACTCAGAAACTATTGTTGATATCATTTCTTTATTTAATAGTATGAGAAAGCAAAAGGAATTACCATTAGGAAGACGAGGGAAAGTTCTAGCTGACACACCGGAGAAAGTGGTAGAAACATCAAACTGTTCCTCATGATAAGAGTTAAGAAATCCCAGGAAAGTTCAAGAGGAACCTTACTCTTGCTTTATATACATGCAACAATTTGTAATCCAAACCACAGCACAGATAGATCACTACTAGAGCTCATTCAGTAACTAAAATCTTCTACGAACAGCTTCCTCATCTTAATTTTCTTATCTAGCTAGTTCTTTTTTCATCGAAAAGAATGGCACTCGTTTCTCAGTTTTCTGATGATGAAATCTATGAACCCTTCCTTTCAATGATCAACAAATGTCCAGTACTCAACACCCCAACAGACTGGAACGAGACCCCAGATGCTCATGTGTTCATAGCTGATCTTCCTGGGCTCAAGAAGGAAGAAGTGAAAGTTGAAGTTGATGATGGAAGGGTGCTCAAAATAAGTGGAGAAAGACGATAAGAATGATAAGTGGCATAGAGTTGAACGTTGCCGTCGTAAGTTCTTGAGGAGGTTCAGGCTACCGGAAAATGCCAAGACTGATGAAATTAAGGCACCTATGGAGAATGGAGTGCTTAAGGTGACCATCCCAAAACAGGAAGTGAGGAAACCAGAGAAGAAGGTGATCCAGATTGAAGGAAATTAAAGGGTTGAGATGAGAATGAAGGAAATTACTAGAATAAAGAGATGTTTCTCTGATTGTTCAGTGTGGCTCTGTAATGTGTGAAATGTGTGTTTTGACTTGCATGTAATGCATACCCTGTAACTTTTTAGTGCTAAATGCAAATATGTGAAGAATCATAAATAAAGCTCAATGATTTCTCTATCAAATTCAGAATTTCATTTGACATTAAGGTTGAAGATGAACTCAACATTGAAGATCATCACAGAAGCTTAACTGACTAATCTCTTTAGCAAACATGAAATCAAGAAAGTAACAAGAGATAGCTGTTCAAGTATCGCGTATAGAACAAAAGCAGACTTTCATCATGATCATGCATGTCTTGAATCATTTGTCAAAGAGAATGTTGATGACATTTCGGAATACCAGACCCCTCTTGTTGTTGAGAGCTTCCCTCACAGCCTTCTCCTCCGGTACAAACCCCTTGGCCTTCATCAGTTGCAGGAATTCGTTAGCTTCATCCATCTTCTGTTCCCTCGCAAAGGCCTCAAATACTGCAGTATAGGTACCAGCATTGGGGCGCATCCCTTTGTCCATCATCTCCGTTAGATACTTCTTGGCATCCCCAAGTTTAGCATCAGCAGCAAGACCCTTGATGAGAACGGTGTAAGTATAGGCATTAGGAGCCACCCCAGAGGACAACATGCGCAAGAACACCTTGAGAGCCTCCTTGGACTGGCCAGCATTGGCGTAGGCTTCGATTACGGCAGTGTGAGCCACCACGTCCGGCATATGACCCTCATCCTTAATCTGGGAGAAAAGCTCCAAAGCCTCGTGGGTCAATCCGTCCGTAGACAATGCGTCGAACATCTTAACTGCATTGTTCATCAACCCATCTGTCTTCATCTTGTGAAAAATCTCTTGAAGGTTTGTGGGGTCTTCGGGTTCTTCGATGGCAGGCTTCTTGTTGAAGGGGTCGTAAGGGGGAGGGAGATTTGACTTGACAACTTCTCGCTGGCTAGACCCGACGACGGTGCTGGTATCGTCATCTGAGTCTGAGTCAGAATCGGAAAGGGAGAAGTTCACCTTGTAATTGACCTTCTTCTCGTTAGTGGGGTGGGAAGATGAACAGAACGCCGATGATTGGAGAAGAGAAGATGAAATTTTGATTCCATGGTTCGCCGGCAGGAATGAAGACACTGTTCTTGTGTTGAATGTTGATGGCAATATTCGGAGGGGTATCAACTTACTCTGACGGAAGAAGAAAGAGAAAGAAGAAGGATTTCTA